AATACATTAGTAAATAATCGTATCTCCACAAACGTTGTTTTATTACTAATTTCACGAAGCCATACCACACTCTCACTTTTATAAACATTATGTAGCAAATATGTATATAAACATATAACGTATTTTGTCTAAAAATATCCGGTTTATTGTCTTGTATAATTTGTATTGTGCTTAGTATCGTGGAAAGAAATATTGAAGCTAATTTTAGATGCTTCGAGGAATTCGGCGAAGGTGAAAGTAAACAATTTAGAAAGCATTTCTTTGTCATCTATTGGTATTTACATTAGAAATCCGGTGAGCGCAGGTGCTGCTTTCTCAGAGATGCCGCGGATCACCAAATATAGAAAGGTTCTTGTTTGATATCTGTCATGCGTAAATAGATATAATTTGGTTTCTAAATTAACGAACTCATTAGCATACTAGAAATATCACTTTAATATCGTATTAATGTTAAAGTGTAAGTATTTTTAGAACAATCATACTGGTATCAAAGGGTAATTCCCGTTGAGCCGTTGAGTCTGACGATTAATCGGGCCAATAGGATTTTTTTCCATTGGGCTGATTACGTCATCCATTGGTCCTATTGATCGGAAAACCGATAGGCCTAGACGGAAACACCCTAAAATCATATCACTTCGAATCTTTTTTGCTCATAAGCGTACATTTTTTGATAGATTTAGACCCAAGGTTGGCATTAATCTTCTGATTATTACAAGTTTGTTGATTTCAATTTAGAAATCGTTTCTAAAAATCGTTTCGTTGTTATTAATCTTAATCACAACTAGTCTTGCGGACTTAAATACACATTATTTAACTCTAGAGCATGAGTATTAAGTAAATTACAGTGAAGCTAGCCAGCTAGAAGATTTTAATAGCGTGAGACAAGGGATGCTGGAATGTTGAACGATAGCATTTCTCTTGCGGGTTTAATAGTTTAGTGCCAAGTAAATCAAATATACGTTAAGTGCTTAGCAATGCAAAGAGAAAATGTTAAGATAAACGTCCATGTACTGTAATTAGAGAAGTTTAGCATATTTCTTCAGTGCTTACATTTTTGTACATCATATTTTCATATTTTCTCGGGAAATATTCTTGTACAAAAAAAGACGCGAGGCTTTTATCGATCGATCTTACTCTCTCAATATCATCTCAATAATGAGCAATGCATTTATTTATTAACCATTTCCTCTTAAATGTTTTAATAGAAATGTTCAGAGAGGTCAGGGCGCGAAAACAAGATGGCGTGCTCTATCGGCTTCTTAATATTGAGTTCGAAACACGTGATATAACGTAATGCCAGAAATGCTTGCGAATGAAAATTAAAAAAGAGTTCACTGCAGTGTTTCTCTTAAATAAATGAGCTTTGCTTTCAAGTGGCATTTATTGCCTTATCTCAAAGTGAATGATAACATTATATCCCGGACAAAAACTCGTACCGTGTTTTTGAACCTTGGCACGATATCTTGGAATACAGCCAATGTCATTGTGCGAGATTTTTATAGAGAAAAAAAAACTTAAAATGAAATCCGTAACTAAGCATTTATTAATATTATTCTAGGATTGGGGCTTAATTTATTTAAAAAATTTAGTTAAGCGTTGGTGTTCGAAAGAAAATAGATTACCATGTAAGTACAATACTATTTGAAACTTCCCTTTCCATTTTTTTGTTCAAATGATATATATCTGAAGCTAATTCTTTGTGTCTATTTGTGTGTTGTCATTTTCTTTCGTCTAGTGTGTTTTTGGCCCTTTAAAAATTATTACAATGAAAATAATGCATACAGTCCAATCACTTCAGTAACTCATTCACATAAAGAATTCATTATAAAAGAAAACCATTACAATAAAGTTATAAATTACAACATTTATACACTTTGTTTCCTATAATTATACAATTACATGTAGACTATGAATGGAATCTGACTCTACATGAACGAACGATTGCGTATCGACTATTAGATATACGCACATTGCTAACCAACCACTCTCTAACCTTATAAGTTAGTGTGAGGAAACTGAGGACCTAGCACGAATATTTGCGACACGCAACTTCGTAACGTCATCCACAAAATATGTCATATGTTAGTTTACTTTACGTCCGGTAGGGGCGCTGTACTCATTATAATACAAATTTTGTCGATATGATATGAAAACGTTATCATGAGTATTCGTGCTAGCCCCTCTGGTATAATAAGCAGTAGTAGAAATCTGTACATTTATACTTATATGATTACAAAAATAATTAATAATATTCATCGCACATCGGGGTCCTTCGGTCCTATTCACTCGCTGAAAGTGGCTCACGTAACAAAGGAACGGTAACCTAATACGTGACGAGAAATATGATGCATTATATACATTCTTTATTATATTCTATTGTTGTGGACCCCATTTGCCGATTAATTGGTTCCGATGTATTCGTACCTATTCGAATCGTTCGTGACTTTCGTAGTATCGTATATAGCGAGGTGAAATCGTGAATCCGTTCCCCCGTACGCAATTTACGACTAATTGATTACATGATTACGTCTCGTTAAGTGTTCGCAGTTTGTTTTACGTTACTTCGATATTTGTACGTAGTTTTACTAGTAATTATAACAAAAATAAAATCAAATCAAATGACTTTATCGTTGTATCCTATCATGATCTTACTTTAACGAATCGATCTTGCCATTTAAAAATTTTCTTATATCACATATTATTTCTTAAAATTATAAACTTATCACTCTTTTTAACTATGACTCTATTGTAGTGATAGGTGAACTTTTACTTATACCTACAGGTTTGTTCGAAACTCTCGGGACGCGAGTCTGACTCGCACTTGATCAGTTTTTTAAATATAATTTTGCTTATATTGAAAACACAAAAAAGTTGCAATCAGTCAAATTCAACGGGTAAAACTTTAAAATACACAAATATTGCCTTACAATGTTCAAGTGTATTTTCTGTTCAAGCAGTTTGAATAGAGTTTCACACAATGCCTAAATCTAATTTGCGATTAATCTTGAAAGCATAAATTATGTAGACCGTAGTAAGACTAGAGGCGAGTTGCTTAAGCATGGAATTCATGAAGATTATATTTAGACGCTGAATTCGTACTCGTATATATAAATTAAACTTGCAAGTGAATTTACTGGGATACCATCTTGTGACTTGGACAAGTACAATGTGTATTTTGCATTGCATTTAAATATTATATTATATTATTCATTTTTGTATCTTAGTATCGAACCTTACAATTATTACTTATCTACAGATATATTATGTTGCTGGCTGATAATTTTATTAAAAAAAATTAAACAAATTATTGGAATGACACCGTTCCATATAGTGTAGTTATAGGTTACTAATTCTGATTACTTAGTTATGCGACACCTAATGTGCTTTCTAAACCTTTATTAAAGATGATGTAAAAACATTTTTTAACTAAGTATGTATTTTTCCTTTTGAAAGTATCCAGACTCTCAAACAGGTCCCGAAGTATTGCGTAAGCTTCAAAAAACTCGCGTGGATAATCCGTTTGTAGGAGACGAGACGCACGCGGCAAGCGGCAGGCGGATACCGTGAGACGACCTCGAAGTATCGAGTACAGTTTCTGATCTCTGACTCATATGTGACTTGAGGATTTCATATAATAAACGTAATACAATTTGAACAATATTCCATTTCATAATAACAGATATTAAATGGAATCTTTAGCTATAAGGGTCATCTTAAATTTAACTTGCATTAAATGTAACTGTCGTAATTATATTAATTTTTGTATCTTTGTATCACGACTTACAACTATTAGTTTTCTATAAATATAATGTTTGTATTAATGTCTAAATAAGAAAAGTAGAAAGCAGTGGAAACACACTAATATTGTAAAGCGATAAACTCTTTACATATCGACTATAACGCAATTTTCTACATGCTTATATCTTGGTAAGTATATTTAAGTATGCAGTAATAATTTGTATAACTATAAATAATACTATATTGTAGATGACAATAATTATAAAATAACATAATTTGTATTAATATAAAATAACTTTATTGTCTTTATGTTTATAGTAATGTAGAGACAATCGAGTTATAGCCGTGTCGCATTCCTATGTTCTAACAAACTGCTTATTACTTGAAAACATTAAGCCGGATACAGAAAACGAGTTAGGTCAGCCACAGATGATGTATATACATACATACACTATAATATTGATTTATTCTTGATCTAAAATTTATTTTATAGAACATGTTTATGGTATATTACTACAATACTTTGACGTAGATATGTAGTGTGAAAGCTTTTTTTAAATGTTTATTTTAAAATGTTTGCGTTGCTCTAAATATTTTGAAGTAATATTAATATATGGGGTGTAGTTCAGGTAAATTAGTACAAATATTAGGGTAATTAAATCGAAAATGTTGCTTTTTAATGATAGTTAAGTATAATGAAGACAATATATTAATAATCCGTTAGAACGGAAATATTATATTTGCGAATTGGGAATAATAGAAAGATATTATGAACGATGCTGAAAGGGTTGTAGTAATGAAGTCATTATTTTCATGGCAATTTCCAGGGGGATTTCTTGCGTTGACTTTTAGTATTACTATGTTAGCGACATAGAGATCCTATTAAAAATAATAACAATGTATGTACATTAAATAGTGTTTGAGGTAATTTAAACAATTATTAAATTATGTTTATTTTCGGTTATTCGAATACTCCTTTGATAACATTGAAGATACCGCCGAATAATACAATATACAATTATAATGATAATTATATGCTAATTAAAAGTTGCTATACTTCGGAAGTGATTTAAAAGAGAACGTATTTCCGCCCAACATGCCCTTTAACTTTCCTAATGCCAATTTACATTGGTCACTTAGTAGTCACTTATTATTTTAGTTGTTTTATAAAATGTATTAGTACTTTATAATTAAAAGTTGTGATTTAATTATATTTTCACAATTTGTAACGATTGTTTACAAAACGTCAAACCATCACTTACCTATAACTTGTGTGAAAATCCAATCAAGCCGCAAACACAACACAAAGACGTTAAGTTTATGTAAAGAAAAACCAACTCCACAGAATAAGATTACAATATACAGTATAAATAATCACCAGGGTTAAACAAGAAACGCACAATTCAAATATAAGTAGAAACGGCACGATACGTTCACTTAGGTCCGCGGCCGCGACTCGCTGCCGTGAATGGAAAACGTTGGCGTAACATAGAAATGGATACAAACGTTTTATAATCAATGCGTGAGTGTTGCAATATTTACGTAATTTTTGCAGGTTGTCAGGTGGTCGAGAGGACGAGGTATCACGAAACAATCCGACCGATGCCTGCAAACGCACGGCCCGCACTGCTTGCTCCTAACGGCAAAAGGTCGTTCGTTACCCACATTCTCTTTCCGCGCAAGCCTCCGCAAGTTAGAGCAAGATGCTGCGACGAACTCTCGGCTGACATATGTGTGCGAGCGGGACGGCAATACCCTGCCTCGCAGGAGAACCCGAATTCGAGACTTGATAGTTTCAACTTAAGATCGTGCGTTGTCATTGTGAATTATTTTGATCGTTGCACAAAAATGTGAGTAAGCGCAAATGTGTACAGCCAATTGTTTTGAACGATGAACAAAATGGTTTTGGTTTAAAAACACCTTTTTGTCTTATATTATAATAAAACACGATAGAGCTTATGAACTATAAATCGGAGATAACGCAAAATATCGGCAACTTATAGCACAGATACACATCATAATAATTCCATAATTGCACTTGACAAAAAAAGACAAGAAAAATTAAAAATAATCTTTAGATTCGTATAAGTTGTGGATGACTTATATCTCGCTTGACCTTAACTTGACAATCCAAAGGATCAAATTGGTGTAGCAAAAATTGTACAAGAAAAACATGGAAATACCACAAATAATGATGACAATAATATCAAGAGTGAGTCATATATCGTCTCTATATAACGTTGAAAGAATCGCAGAGGAACGAATGCAATGTGGACAACGCGTTTTCCTTACAAAAGGGCGAATTAATCTCATGGTCCAGTTACTCTTAATATCGCATATTCGTAACTTCAAATCCAACTATCACGGCTCTCAGTTGCAATCATCAAACGATATAACTTAGCCGTAAAAATTAAAATGTTATTTTGACGACATGGAATTTAAAACTAATAATAGATTTTAGTACAATAATTAATCTTTATTATATATCTAATAATTATAAATTCAGCAAAATAAATCCTAATATGGAGTGATACCGTTTTGACAATGTTGTCAAAATTTTCCTTATCTTAGTCGAATCCGTGGTCATAAGGGCATGTTGACAACCTATTTTCATCTGTGGTAGCGCTTTATGATAGCCTTAAGGTGCTTCGTAAAGCGCAAATTAAACCCACAACTATCTCATAAAAATAAGGGTAAAGTTTCTCATGATTACACGGTTTCATTTCTTAGGTTAAGATTTCAATAATTGTATCTAATATTCAAACATAACATCATTTATATTTTTCTATTATAAAAATAATCGTTTCGCACTATATCCGATTTAAATCCTTAACTTATTTAGAGTAGTTAATAATAAATATTAGTAAATTATTTCGAAGTGCTGGTGTCATACAAATATTACAAGCACCACTTATCATGGGCTTATAATGAGATCTATTTCTGTATTTCTGCAGAACATCTTAATTAATTTTAAAAATGTCTCCGCTTCACATCCGGGCTTCGTGATAAAGTAAATTCTATTCAGAAATTGTTAATGAATGTAACATGCTTAAGAACAGTCCAATTAAGAATTTAGATTCATTCTATGTTTACAGCAACATAAATATAAAAAGTTTAGTTTTCTTTATTTACTTTTTTAATATTTACATCTACAACTTCATGATTATGATTATATAACCTGCCCTTGTCGGAGGGTCGGCACAGTATGTATAACCTTATATACATGTCTACAACCACCATATACGAATTCACTCTCTTACGCATATCCTCTTTCACACGATGCAATCATTTTTTTTATATTATTAGTCAACAATATTGCTAAGAGTTTTGTAACATGTAATAATATACCATTACTTCAGTGCAATGCTTTTTACAAACGATATATCATAATAAGATACAAGTTTATTTTAGACTCAAAAAATAGTACGTTCGACGTTTTCCTCTGTAGTTTGGTGACGTAATTTATTACCTACCTTTACTTGTTGTTTCTTACCCATTTTTTTATAATAATTTATTTCTTTTATTGGCCAATAAGTCAGTCGTTAAGTATATTTTTTTCTGATTACGCATTGTTACGTGGCCTACACACCAAATATAATAAGGCCGCTTACTTCCGCCACATTGATATTTTCCAACTCTGGAAACGGAAGCTGCATTAACTTCAAGGTGTAGATTGTGAGATAAATTACATTTAGAAACGGATCTTACATACGTTTACTATTTTTATATTATAATATAATTAACATAATTATTATTCATGGACTTATCCAAAGGTATGAATAAAAGGATGGATAAAATAATGTATTACAATTAATATGAAAAAAATCATAAATTTCGAAAACTTTCAAATAAAATCAAAACGAGTACATTTATCCTCGTACGAATTACAAGTATTTATTTATAGAAGAAAAAAGAAGTTCCAAGGCAGGAAAATCAGTAAATAAATAACACAATTTCGATTATATCTGCATTGTTTTTGTGTTTAAGGTGTTCCTGCATTTGAGCTGAGAATAATTTCTTATACGATTTAAATTGGCAAAAGGTAGAGGGTGTTGTAATTTCCATTCACGTAACTTGAAAGCTAACGTTTGTGTAATCATTTTAATGTGGGGGATAAAAAACAAGGAAAGCTTGACGTAGAGGGTTGCGGCTAGCAGTGGGAACGCATAAAGTTTTTATTGTTTCCGGGTCACGAACCATCCCAATTGTGTTTCGCAATCAATACGTCTATTTCTACCGCAGCTGGTCTGCCAATTCACAGGATGTACTAAAATCTTCTGTTTAACCATTTTCACTATAGAAAACATGTATTAAACCAAAACCATGTTATCTTGTACCATATCTGAAAGAAGGGACACAATAATAAATTCTTGTATTAAGCTTAACCTTAAGTATAACCAGCGAAGTTACTTTATACCGAAAGATTTTAACGTATACAATTATAGTCTTCTAAACGCTTTTAAATTATTACTTACATCCCATTTAATATTCATTTAACATTCCGTTATTATTAATTTGAATGAAGGAATGTTTTTGCAACGTTCATTTGCGAATTATCAACATTTGGCTTGGGAAGGTCATGAATTGCAGATTAGGCTGGGGACGAAAAATGTAAATAAAATTAAACACATGCCTAATTTAAATGTTTTTTTTTTACCAAATAGATGGATGTTTAAGTATGGTTACTGTTGAATTATTACATTTTTAATAAGAGAGAGAAATAATTGCCTCTTTTTACCATGAAAAGACTTACATGATGCGTTAAATAACATAACAAAGTTCGATATATGTTGTCTTTAATTCGATTATTTTAGAATATACCAAAAAAATATTTCGGTAATTTGGTAATCACCTGAGTCCCGCTTACATTGGGATGCGTCCCTTTGAAAGACTCATTTAAATTGCAAAATTGAGAGCAACATGCATTTATTACTTTGTTATTGGGGACGAAATTGATTAAAATGTTTTCATTTATCAGTCGGAATTAAAATTTTTCTGAGACCAAAATCCCTGATTAAAACATTTTATTTCTGTTTTTTTTAAAGATAATTTTCATACGGAGATTTTGTGCTCTTAGAAATCAAGGGTAAACGTTAAATGTTAAACGTTTACCGTTGATTTCTGAGACCACAAGAAACATTAGAGGTAGGAAATCAAAATTACCTTTTGTTCTTGTTCTTTCTTTGGCTTAAAATAAAATGTTAATGCTTAGTTAATCCAAGTACATAAGTTAAGTACGTTAAGGCTTTGGGCAAATATATATTTTTTTCAAGCATTAGAGCAAGCAGAATAACTTTATGGGTCGATTGTTTCACGACCTCGATTCCGGATAAAACATTAAAGGGGTCACTTTACAAATGTATGTAATTTTACAAACCGGAATGGTGCGCGCATAAAAATCGCACTAGTTTGAAAGTATAATTTATAAGGATATGCATCGCTAACTCGCCTGATGACTGGCCAATCAATTACGCAACTGAGGCCACTTTCTACAAGTAATCATTTAATCGTGTCGAAAAGTTTTTTCTTTTGACTTCGGATCTATTTTAATTTTTAAATATTTTTTTAACTGATGTTTAGCTAACAGATACCATGATGTTCGTAGCAAAAAACAAAATTTATTAGCTTTATAAACTATACTGGTGTAATCTAGACGATCCTAGCCTATGTATTATGGAGGTCTGCTCTGGTACAAAACTTAGTATATATACTTGTATAGTGTATTTACTACTTTATACATTGCGTTGTACATGAAATAGCAAGTAGAATACCTGCGAGGAATGTTTATGCCCCGCACAAACGTGGCCATGTCTTTGACAATGGATGCAAATCTTCAAGCGGATTTATAGTGGTTGCATTACTCGTAAATTGTACGAGAGAGGGCGACGAGCGATTATCTTTGTACTAGCTTTTATATAAATTTATTATAATAAGCATTAGTATAAATATATTTGTTAGAGTTTATTGACCCTAGAAATATATCTTTCTTAAAAATTACAACGCTACTCGTTGTTATTATTCCTAAAAAGAATTGTTTTATGGGTGTATTTTTGCAGCACGAAATTAACAAAAAAAACTTTATTTTGGTTGGATTTTTAGAGAATTAAAAGTGCGTGCTCTTATTGCATAGTTATTTTTTATTTATTTAGCCGTAAAAATGTTTTTAAATGTATCGTCATTTCACATAAATTTATTTGTTTGAAACTTTTATACAATAAAGAACATTAACCTCAAAAATCTTTTATATTTTAAAACTATGTTAATCACAGGCTCCATAAAGTGCAGAGGCGAAGGCGTGCGGCTGACGTGTGCGAGTTATGTGCTCCGTCACGTCAACAACATTTGCCACTAACAAAGGATGAGCTATACATAAATCTAGATGAACAAATGTTTAAAAATTGCTATTACTTTTTACCTCTATATTTACTCTAGATAATTTTTGATTTTAATCCAGGAAAAATTTATCTTAGATTGTTGTTCAATTAAATATAATAAATAGTTCAAGTGTAATTTAAATTTCTTTTATTGAGCGAGTCAAGCGCTGTTTAATAACTATCAGGCTATTTAACAGGTAATCTATGCAGTATACAAAACTGTAATTTTTTTTAATCATTCAGACTTTCGTGAGACATTATAATAAACTGATATAAAAACGGCTTCGTCCGGTGGCGGCACCGACTAGATTCGAGCCCA